TATGCAGAAATAACACAAATGTCAACCTCAAACTTGTCAATGTAAAAAAACATGCATAAAACACTTTGAAACCCTATGCAACTGATTTGGACGAATTAAATCAATTTGTTAATGAGATAAACTTTTTTTATAAACCGTGTAGACAGAACAATTTGATTGAATAACAAAAAAAGTTTAATAACTTAATCAACACTATTGTAAAATTTACACAATTTATCACAATTGGTCATACAGAGGGGCATTCAGTGGTGAATGGATGTTCATTTGTGGGGTAAAAAGAGATTAATATTTTACTTTTAAGACCCATGTTGATTGAGATACATACACATAAATAAATTAATTAAGGACACTCTTGTGTAAAAAATAAACAAATTAACAAGTAAAACTTAAATAAATAATTAAACATACTGAAAGCCACTGCTACAAATAAACAGCCTAGCTATAAGTCTTATGACAATTTCGGTCGAGAATAACCCAGAGGGGCACTTGGCATGCCTCGCACATGATTGGGGTGCATTTCCAACAAAGCCTGCATTTCCTGCGCCCTTCTGTGGCTTTTTTAGAGACAACTGCACCAGAAATGGTAACATGAGAGGTGAGTGTGTGCACTACTTTGCACACTGCATACATGGGGGACACCATGAAAAGAATGTGTAAATCCACCAGAGGGTATAAGCATGTTGAGATTTCAGTTTCTGCAGCTATAAAAGATTACTGTGTCCATCCATTTTGTGAAAAGGAGGGTCCCCTGCTGGATCCACCTTACAGAACCCAGTGGTGACTTCTTTGACTTCCTTCATCTCCTCTAGATCCTCTCCCTTTACAGGTCGTTGCCCTCATGTAAGGTATGATTAAAGCATTCAAAAAACATTCACATTAATTGTTTTTTTGAATATTTTATACCATTATGCAGAGAAGCCGTCTCTGCCTGGTACTTTAGATGTTTTAAGGATTGATATAGCATTGCTTATTTCTTCTATAATTGTTTTTTGAGTTTGGGTTTTATTTTGTATTGATCCAATTGATAAATCTAATGTGTGTAAAATGCTGCATGTTTGCAAGTTCAATATTAATCTTTTGAGAAATATAATTCCTTATAGTATTTCGGCAAAACACTTGTATTTCCTCCAATTTATGACGTATCTTTTCAGTTTTGGGATCTTTGATTTTAAATATACTCCTCTCTGCCTGTCATTTCCCTATTCTCCATGCCAGGAGCTTTTTTGCTTTTGGACTATTTTCATAAAATTTCTGTTTTAAAAATGTAAGTTTTAATTGTACTTGCTCATCGAATATTTTATTGAGTTCCGCTTTAACTTATTTGATCTTATTAAAAGTATCTGGATCTTCTTTATTACCATATTTAGTCTCTTAATTCTTTAAGTCTTATATAATTCCTTATAGTATTTCCTGAAAAGCCTGTTGTATTTCCTCCAATCTATGACATATCTTTTTAGTTTTGGGATCTTTGATTTTAAATATACTCTACTCTGCCTGTTGTTTCCTTATCCTTGCTTTAACTTCATTGATCTTATTAAAAATATCTGGATATTTCTTATTACTATATTTAGTCTCTAATTCTTAAAGTTGTATATTTAGATTATTCATGTAATTCAGTTTTTTTCCTTGATCCCCACATTATAAGTTTAACTCGCATATCAGCTTTAGCTGCGTCTTATAGGATACTAGGTGACACCTCTCCATTATCAGTATGTTTTAAATATTCTAATAGTTCTTTTTTTAACATATCCTACACATGTTAAATCATTTAAATGATTAGGGTTAAATCGCCAAAATGTTTTTTTGGGTTTATTGTCCACGTACACTGTTAAATAAGCTCCTGCTTGGTCTGAGATGTCTCTTGTTCCTATTTTACAGTCTTTTATTTTATGTTGATCTGACTCAAACTAAAATGATAAATTCTAGAATGAGACATGTGGGCGGTAGAGAACAAAGAACATTATTTTTAAGAGGGTATATGTCTCTCCATTAGGGTTGTAACGGTATGAATTTCTTACGGTATGATAATCGTCTAAAACAATACCACGGTTTGACGGTTTCGCGGTATACGGTATGTTACAAATGTTACAAAGTAATAGAACAGTGAAGCAAATTTGACTTTTTCCAAATAATATATTTTTAGTTACTATAAACAACACCACTTACAATGAACAAATAAAAAAAATAAGAAAATAATAAATAATGTGTCAAAGTCTAAATAAAGTCCAAATAAACATGGTGCAAATCCTCAGTAAAAAAATAGATATAAATATTTACTATACTATAAATAGTTACATAACGAAACTAGATTCAATATGGAACATCCTTAGGTTTAATGTGCCAGCATGGATATGGTTGTCTGTGGATATGGATTTGGTTGTCTGCAATGCAGACAAACAGCTGCACCTTCATTTGCGTCTTTTGAAAACAGCAAGAGCAGCAGTTCGTCTTTGCTGTGTCACTGTTTTGTCATGTTTCTGTGCTGCTGTGCATGCAAAAGTACTTAGTATGAGAATTATTTCATGCAAAACTTTTTTTTTGCGTTTTATTTAGCCACGCATAAATGTATGCCTATCTCTCATTCAGTGTTGTTCAAAAAGCTCATTGTTTGGTCCACAAACAAAAGCGAAACCTATGCTTATTGGTTGTGATATAGCGAGTTTGAACCAATCTGGGCATGGAGGAGGGACAATGCATCAATGTTTCATGTCTGGTTTGTCCGGAGACACAGTGACGAGCGTTTCTTTGTCAAATCAGCGTGGTCAAATTTTGATGACGTAACCGCACTGATTCCGGAGCCTCTGGAAGTCCGAATGTTATGTGATACAGCACTGGAAAGCTGAGATTCTCTTCTTTATGCCAATCTTTGAATTGTATGAATCGGATCAGCGGATCAAAAGTTATTAAACATTTAAAAGCAATACTTATTTTTAGCCGCGGGCGGCTATCTCTGTCTTTAAGGGTTAAAACCGTTGAAATGCAATTGTTCATGGTATGATAATCGTGCACGTTCAAATCGTGGTAGACCGTCATACCGGTATATTGTTGCAACCCTACTCTCCATACATCTATTAAGCCTAATTCTTTCATCATATATCTTATTTGTCTAGTTACTTGACTAATTTGCTTATTAGAAGACGAGTCCAATTTAGGCTGAAGTTGTACATTCCAGTCTCCCCCACAGATCAACGTACCTGAGGCCATCCCAATTTTTCTAATTTCTTATGTTCTGTATCAGAAAGATGCGTCTCTTGCCAGAAGATTATCTGTTGCTTTTCTCTTTTCAATTGAGACACGAGTTTGCTTCTTATAATTACTCCATATTCCTGTTTTTGCAAAAACTATAATCAGATCTTATTGCGAAGATCACGGTGACCGGAATATGAAAAACACAAACATGAATATCTTGAACAACATAAAAAAAAAACATAACTTAAAAGGTCTCCAAACCTTGAAGTCTTAAATAACTTTTAATGTGAGAGTAAAGCCTTCATTCTCTAAAGGGCCCCTCCTTGCTGTGCCTATTGCACAAAAATGTTAACGAATATATTCAGCACCCATATCTGGCAATATTATATTCTTTTATTTCTGGCTAGGTTTTCAAGTTAAATATTTCTACTAATTATAGCAAGGGATTTTAAGTGTATAGATTAGAATCCCTTTATGTCTTCCCACCAGTATGTTACTTAACGATTTGAGTCTTGGTGGGCTTTAATCGTTTATCTTGTGTCGTTGGTCAGTTCGGTTAAATACCATTCTTCCTTCAAACGATTTAAATGTCCATCATTGGTGAATCAAGTCAAGAAGTTTTTCCAGCCTCTCAGAGTTCTTTGTTAGGATCTGTCAGGTTTTATCCTTCTTTCAAACAGAGCTAGTGTTGTCTCTTTGAAATTCACGTAGTTTTTCCCAGATCTTCGTTTGATGTTTTTCCTTACTTTTCTTCGAAGTCACTCCAACCTTTTGCCAAAGTCTTTGTTTCTTATTCCCAGTGATTCCTATAATAGTTTCTTCTTCGCTGTTTATCAGTCCTTGTTCTTTCAGATCTCTTAAAGCCCCGTCATCGAAATGTACATGACTGCCCCGTTTTCGAGAAAGATTCTAAGTTTCGCTGGCTTATTAGTACAAAAGCCCATCTTTTCTGTTGGATCCTAGGTGGGCAGTCTTTGTCAAAGAAAATCTTTTTTTTTGTTCCAGTATATTACTTTCTTCCTCCATGCAGAGCGGAGAACCGGGTCCTTCGTTTTGTATTCCAGGATGAATACCACCACTGATCTAGGGTGGCATCAGCGGGTGGTTTTGGTCTGAGTGCCTGGTGAAACTGTTGGATTTTAAGGTCCAATTCGTCGAGTGACAGCTCCGTTTTGATAATTGTTTCCACCAAGTCTTGGATATTATTGCCTATGCTTCTTTCTGGGATTCTAAAGATCTGAATATTATTTTGACGAGAGCGTGTTTTTAGACCTAACAGTTACTTTTGTAAGTTTTCTTGAATTTGAATGGTTTGATGGAGAATTTCTATTATCTTAGCAACATTCTCCTCCAATTCTCCAACTCGCTGCTCCACTTTGTTGATGTTTTTTGCTGTTGCGTTTAGGTCCGTGATGAGGCCATCCAGTTTTTTTATTTCTTGCTTAAAGTTAATAAAAGTTACTTGCTTAAATCTGGTTAAATCAGATTTAATATCCATCTGGAAAGCTTTGATGTCTGTAGTTGACAGGCTATCACCTATCCCGTCCGTGTCGGATTTTTCATCTGTTGAGCTCTCGTTTTTTTTTTTTTTTTCCCAAGTTTCAATAGTGGTTTTGTCCTAGCCTTTTTGCTTTTGCCCCCCTCCATATGGTTTAGGTTATTAATGATGTAAAAAGGAGGATTAATATCAGTGTGTATGGGAGCTCTCTTTCTATGCTCCTACACGTGTCGACACCATACCGGAAACCATCACATGTGTTTCTTAAGCTTCCCCGAATGAATGAAACTCTGTACACACTGATCATGACTACGGTTTCTTTCCAGTGTGAATCTTCTGGTGCCGTTTCAGTTCTGCAGCTGTAATAAAAGTCTTCTCACACTCCAAGCACATATACTCTCTCACATCAGTGTGGATCCTCATGTGTTTAATAAGGTATGATGATTGGTTAAAATTCTTCCCACACTGAGGGCAGGTGAATGGTTTCTCTCCAGTGTGGATCCACATGTGTAGATTAAGGTATGATGATTGGCTGAAACTCTTCCCACAATGAGTGCATGTGAATGGTTTTTCTCCGGTGTGGATCTTCATGTGTCTATAAAGCGATGATAATTTGCTGAAACTCTTCCCACACTGAGTGCATGTGAATGGTTTCTCTCCAGTGTGGATCCTCATGTGTTGATTAAGGGATGATGATCGGCTGAAACTCTTCCCACACTGAGTGCAAGTAAAGGGTTTCTCTCCAGTGTGGATCCTCATGTGGTGATTAAGGGATGATGATCGGCTGAAACTCTTCCCACACTGAGTGCATGTGAATGGTTTCTTTCCAGTGTGGCCCATCATGTGTTTATTAAGGGATGATGAGCAGCTGAAACCCTTCCCACACTGAGTGCAAGTAAATGGTTTCTCTCCAGTGTGGATCCTCATGTGCTGATTAAGGGATGATGATTGGCTGAAACTCTTCCCACACTGAGTGCACGTGAATGGTTTCTCTCCAGTGTGGATCCTCATGTGCTGATTAAGGTATGATGATTTGCTGAAACTATTCCCACACTGAGTGCATGTAAATGGTTTCTCTCCAGTGTGAATCATCATGTGAGTCTTTAGTTTGCTTTTGCTTGTCAAACTCTTTCCATACTGAGTGCAGGTGACACAACTCTTGTCTCTCACTTTGAAAATACCATCAGTCTCTAAATGAGTTCTGTCCTCAATTTTGACATGATGTTCCTCTTCTTTACTCTCCTCATAGTCTTTAATTAGGTCTGAAATAAAAAAAAGTTTAGTTTTTAGTAAATCATTCAAACTCTCATCAAAAGCTGAAGTGAAAAGGCTCTAAAACATTGGCAACACAAACCTTAATTTTGATGCACATTAAATGTAAAAACAGCAGATCATATTTAGATTGATCTTGTCATATCAACCTCCTGGTGTCCATTACACACATACACTTTTAAGCGGATTCTTATTTGATTGATCCCAGATTATTTTTGGTCACATTGATGAGACATCAAATTGAAAGCGGTAAAGGCACAGTTTTTTTTATTTATTTGTATATATGCGAAATCACAACAAAACAACATGTTTTTGTAAAACTTGTAGAGCAGATGGGTAATACTTTTTCATTCTGTGCCTGACAGGTAAACCTGTTTGAAAAAAACAGCTTAATCTCTGTGAATATTTGCCTCACATACATGAGACATATCTGCATAAAGCCTTAAATCTGCACCTTTAAATGACAAATGTTCTCTGGTTTAGTAATTTGCAAGTATCGATTACAATGCAGAATTCTAATAATTCTAAAATGTTTTCCCCCATTAAACATAACTTCACACTAACTTCAAGTTCTCTAGTCACACCCAGACCTGATTACTACCAAACATGTTTGCAATCAAGAAATCACCTAAATGGACCTGTCTAACAAAGTGAAGTAGACCAAAAGTGCCTCAAAAGCTAGACATCATGTCAAAAACTAAAGACATTTAAACACAAATAAGAAAGAAAATACTTGTGTCACGAGTAAAATAAAAAAAGCTGATGACAAGAGATAATCTGTAACCCAGAATAGGAGGAGAGAGCAAAAGCTTGAGGTACAGTGACAGTACCCCCTCCCTCAAGAACACCCCCTGGCATTCCCTTAAGACTCACTATGGACCTGATGATTTTTTAATTAATTAATTTATTTTTTTGCTCCGTCCTGCGCTTTTTTTTTAAACACAACTAATTGTCCCTTAAATGAGCACACACAGTTACTAAAGTAGTCAAATGCTTCATTATAGATCTGTGCATTCTTACATTAACACCTCTGTTATTAAACAAAACACAATTAGATTCATTTGCTGCTCTTCACTAAATAACTATAGTACCTTTAATCAATATGCAAATACAATCAAAAGTGAAGTAGATTTTATAGCTTTATTTAATTTCTGTACAGGCCATTGATTTTAAAAGGCTAAACCTATTATTTTATTGTCAGTATTTTCTAATGTTTGCTATGTATTCTATCATTTGAAGCTATTTGTTGTTATTATTCAAAAGCAGGTAATGATTCGCACTCAATTGCTTCGTACTGTTTTTATTTTTACTTATTCCTACATTTTACAGGTTATAACAGACAAACAGACGTTTCGGCACAAAGCCTTCCTCAGTGTGTGACTCAATTCTCTAACTCCACCCTTTTATCCCATAGTTAATCACAATGTGCAATTAGTTAAACCGTCACTCATTTCATTATCCATTAATCACACAATAACTTATAATCTTCACAGCAATGACAATAAACAATCTTCCCATTTCCGACCTCACTTTACAGAGATTTTCAAAAACAATTTGCGAAACATACGAAAATACCTACATTTAAAAACCATTACTACATAGAAAAACAGCATATCATTATATTTTTTAACAATTTACATTACAATATATCATGATCAATTACTCGAAAAATACCTTTTCCTTCCAAAACAATCTCGCAAGAAAACAGCACATCAAACATCAAGTTTCAGACCTCTCCTTTTCATTACAATATCATGGTCAATTACTAGCAAAATACATTTACCTTCAATAACATTACATAACAAAACAGCACATCAAATATCAGTAAGTTTATCAATATTTTCTTTTTCATTACAGTACATCATCAACCTCTCGAAAAAATACCTTTATCCACAAAAAACATTTCACAAAAAAACCAAACCAGTTAGCATGTCAATTATCACAGTGTTAACCAATAGTTTCTGTTTCACTTCAATATATCCTGATCAACCACATAAAAAAATACCCTTACCTCCTAAAATATTATTTCACAAGAAACCTATCAATTAACATTATTCTCCCATTATTATCTTTATTCCGAAGTTCACAAACATTTAAAGAAAAAAATAATAATTTTTTATTTTTGTCAACAACTTTAACGTTCAAGATTTACAATTCCTAATATCGATTAAATAGCAGATTTGTTAAAGAAACGCAGAAAGATCCAGCTCCTCATTCATTCCTTTTGGTGCAAGTGACTTTAATTCATAAATCCAGAACGCTTCTCTTTGTAATAATCTTTTATTTAAATTACCTCCTCTATGTGACTTCTTTTGAATAATAGTAACGATAAGATTAACGCACCAAACCAAAGAAGTAACTAAAAAAAACGCAAGCGCGCAGGACAAACTTCAGTAAGCTATTTGTTGTCCCATATTTTTTTACATCTCAACGTTGACAGATTAGTTATAATGTCAGCTTATGTTGTAGAAGGGCATACCTCGATCATTACTTCCTCAAGCTAATGTGTAAATATTAGCTCTATTCAGCAATAACGTTAATTGCATTGGCATATTTATCTGATGTTTTCCCAGCTTGTAGTAGTCAATCAAAAAGCTATTTAGTTTCTTATGACTATACACTAGCAGTGGAATTTACTGCAATGTGACGGGGCGCCACCTGAAATCTTGCCTAGGGTGCCAAATTGGTTAGGGCCGGGCCTGCAGGGGGGAGAGAAGAATGGGTTTAATCTTAGACACCTAAAATAAAAAACGGATGAATGTTTTTAAACTTAGAGCTTAATTTCAGTTGAACCAACACTGGACTGAGCACCTTGATAATGGGAAATGGTCCAATGAATTTGGGTCCCAATTTACGTGGGGGAAGTCTGAGAGAAAAGTCTTTGAAAGACAACCAGACTTTCTGACCACACATGTATAGAAGGAAGCAGACGCTTCATTCCTATTGCCAGTCCTTTTCTGGTGATCCTCCATGTCTAAAGGCATCTCTGAATGAACGAATGAATGAGGGAACAATGGCAGCTTGTTCTTGGAAAGAGAATACGCTTATTTTACACTGCCACCATTTTAAAGAACGAAAGCTAGGCTGCTGTGGGAAAAAAACATGGAAGTATAGGATCAGCACTGTAAACATTGCAACAACATGCTGTGGACTACAAACCTTCTGCTGTTGCCACAATTTGTAAACCTCACTTTAATATCATTCAGTTCAGTTTAATTAAAACAATTAAAAGCAGATTAGGCATCAAACTAGATTACAATCTCTTTAACAGTGATATGCTTAAGTGTCCTCCTAGGATTCAGTTCATGGCACCAGGTAAACTCTGTGGGGACGATTCCTTGCTTCAGCCTATGTAACCGAGTGAGCGATAAAACACCATCACACCCTCGTGTTGTCTGTGATAGTATTTTCCTGGTACTGAAGTTTTAAAATCGTCCATTTCCCACTAACCTGTAGGTGCTACTGAGCGTGTTCTTAAACAGCGCTGATTTACCATAGTGTTTACTGGTGCCCACCAAAAATGACTGTGATTAAGGCCCTGTTTACACTAATGTGGTTTCATTTTAAAACGCATAAGTTTTGCTACGGTTACGCCATCCGCCCACACTATGCCGGAGTTTTCGAGTGCCGAAAACGCTGGAGAGGTTGGAGAGGTTTACATTCTGAAACGCTGCTGCTCCGTCTCAATGTGGATGGGCAAAAACGGAGACATCTGAAAATGGAGGCGGGGCTGCCGACATTCGCCTATCTGATTGGGGCTTTTCCTCAATATTAAGAAGTCTACACACACAGTTCAATCTCGCATCCTCTCCCGGTAAGTTCAGACTTCGCAAGTTTGATATGGAAAACAGACCCTCGAGGACATGTCTGGTAAATCTTCAAAGGGAACAGTGTACTTTATAACTTCATTCACATCATCCTGGCTACGTTGTTTCACTTTCTCAACAATAAAATGTGAACATGATTTAAGCAACTGCCTATTTTCATTTTAATATTAACAACTTGGAAGACAGCAGAAATGCTGAGGCGTCATGCTGCATCTTCACTGTATGCATATTTATAATAAAACAGAGCCTATATAACATCACTGCCTCCTTTAATTTTTATTGAAAATACGAAACGTATCCTCTGCTTTGCTGAATATCAGTTTTAATAATCAATAATAGCCATTATGAAAGCATAACGCACAATAAGTTTATACATTATAGGAAGTAAAGGCAAGCGATCAGTTAATATACAGAATGTACGTGGTTCCATTAATTATTAACTTCTCTTTGTGCTCAGCCAAAACACGTTACCTGTGAACAAGTAATCGATTCAAAAGACCAAAGTCGGGGAATATGTTGTTAGATATAGACAACAAGGTGAATTAAATATCACGTTTAGCAAATATAGTGAGATTAGATCCAGCGGGAGATGCTTGATGAGCAGTCCACCCAGCACAGCTCTCATCTGGGTAGAAATGCTGCAGCGCTTGTCGGAGTGTGTGTGTGTGGTCACGTGATGTGCGTTTTCAGCGTTTTGGTAAGGTCGGAGAGCAGTTCAGAAACGCTAGGTAAAGCGGTAGTGTGGGCCTGGATCGTGTTCTTTCTAAAACGCCGTTTTTTTTACTAAAACGCACTAGAGTAAACGGGGCCTAAGATATACAGCAGGTACAAAATTTTCCTGTGTGGCTTCAGGCGATACTTCCGGGCATCACCAGCCTGCTCTAGGGGAGCGAGACAGGGCTGCCCTCTGTCCCCTGTGCTCTTTGACATTGCTATCAAACCTCTTGCAACCATATTAATGAACTCCGATGGCTTGCAAGGAATTTTCAGAGCGGG